GCCCTGCAATTTATATTCCTTTCTTCAAGATTTCTCAAAGACAGAATTAGAAAGAGGTGAGAGAGGTCTCCCATCCATTGGTTTACACCCTAAATGGCTGGTTGTAGGAACCTAAACACTTGGCCCACTTTCCAGTGCTTTTCCAGGTACATTAGCATGGAGCTGGACAGGAAGTGGAGTAGCCAAAACTCCGACAGCATCATGGGATGTCAACATTGCAACCCATGGCATAAACTACTAAGCCACAGTGCTGGCAGTCTTGCCATTTTTTTTCTGATGAGATACTACCCAGAGTATCCACGTTTCTCTGTATGAAATTTACTTTTTTACTCTGGTTATTTCCTAGTTGTCCTCAGTTTGATTTTTATCACTTTGACTACCATGCAGTTTCACACTAAACAACTGTCCACATTTGTGAAAATTTAAGCTGACCTTTTCACTCAGTCATTATTCCCTTAATTTTTGTCCTATTTATCCCTCATATCTGTAAATTTTTGTTTCTATACAGACACTGTATAGGCCTAGTTGTATATAATACCCTGAATTCGGTTACTTTCCCAGAAGAATGCAATTTCTGTACTCTCAGGTAAATTATTAACTGGTTAAGCTGATACCAGTGGAACTGATTTTGGCTGTATGTTGGTTTCTTATTAATCTTATAGTAAATTTCCCAGAACTGGAAACATTAAAGTGAGTTTTCAATGGTTTCAGTACCTAGGTGTTTGACAATCTCTTTCAGATTTAAAATCCGCCATCCCTACAGGAGAATGTAACTATATTCACAGCACATCTCTTTCAGCATGTCCGAGTCTTGTTTTCCCAGATCCTATGAAATCTCCTAAGTTAGCTCCATATAAAGACTTTAGATAACGGGGCTAAATATTCCCCTAATCTCATATTGTCCCTTTTCTATCCATCTGGAAGATTTTAACACAGTGTTTAGCCAAGAGACAAGCCAATGATACCATGGCTCTCCGGTTAACTTACAGAAACGTATAGAATGACAAGGCCTCTGTCCTTCAGAGAACTTTTTGGCTGTAATTTCATTGATTTTTTTTGAGTCACTTCCAAATGTTTCCTTCATCTACCTAGCAATATGCATTGTTTTCAAGTTTTTTCTTAAGTCTGGGGAAAAGGACTATTTATTCAAGAGGGGAGAGTGGGAAAGAAATGAGAAACACTGTTGCAGAGCACTGCAGAACACCTTGTTAGGTTCTCTTGTGTCTAGGAACATATCCTCCTGGTCATAGGAGTCCAATTTCAAACCATTTTTTATGTGTACAGAGTTGCCTTTAGCAGCAGCTATAAAGACAGAGGTATTACTCTCTCCTCCACCAGCCCTATCTTTGTTTTTTCCCTTAAAGCTTTTATTCAATCTTATTTGAAAGTTAGAGATATAGAAAGAAGGAGAGACAGAAAAGATCTTCCATTCGCTGATTCACTTCCTAAGTGGCCACAAAGGTTGGAGCTGAGCCGATCCGAAGTCAAGAGCCAGCTTCTTCCAGGTCTCCTACATGAGAGCTAGGTCCCAAGGCTTTGGGCCATTATTTACTGTTATCCCAGGCCACACGTAACAGCTGGGAAGTAGGGCTGCTGGGATATGAATCTGTGCCCATATGGGAACCTGGTGAAATCAAGGCAAGGACTTTAGCCACTAGGATACTAGACCAGGCCCCAGTCTTTTTTCTTCTAACTTAAGAAATCTAAAGGAAACAAATAGATTCAGTCTGCAGTGCCTAACAGGAACAATATACAGATATGTACTGAAATGTCAAAAAATAATCACTCGATTTGGAAATCAGGCAAAAAAAAAAAGTCGCCTTTAAGTGTGAACAACAGAATGCTAACAAGCCCAGGAGTCATTTATTTTCCAAAAACTACTTACTTTTCTTTGACCTACAGTTTATCGCTGACAATTATGTCTGAACTCCCAATATCTCATATGAGTCCTGCTTGCTTCATTTCTACCCAAATCCCAGGTAACAAACCTGGGATAAAGAAGAAGACAGCCCAAGTGCTTGGGCCCCCACACCCATGTGGGAGACCTGAAGAAGGTTCATGGCTTTTGAGCAGCTCAGCTCCAACCACTGCAGACATTTGGGGAGGGAAACACAAATGGAAGATTTTTATCTCCTCCATAACACTTCCTTTCAAATAAAATAAGAACAAAAGCATTTTGAAATTATAAAAACATTCTCGCCTTTGTCATTAATTCCTGTCTCAGAAAGTACAAAATAAACAGCAAAATATATCGCTAACATTTTTGAGTCTGAAATTTTAAAAGGTATTTTCTTTCAAAATAATATAAAAGGGCAATAAATAACTATATGTAGCAGGTAGAAGCTGATAACAAAATGAGAATCAACTGGCTAAATGCGAGTATGAAAATCCACATCTGCCCTTTGCCATGTGTGACTTAAGATATTTTTAAAGTAAAATTAAGAAGACAATTTTGTTTTTAAAAAAGCTAAATAACAAAAAAAAGGCAGAATCAAATACTGCCTTCCTACAATAAAGTTTTGTTTAGTAATTAACCCATTAGGCTCATATTTGCCACATAAATAATGGTCAGGGGCCTGGTACAGGAACATAGTGGCTAAAGTCCTTTTCTTGCATGCACTGGTTCATGTCCCAGCTGCTCCATTGCCCATCCAGCTACCTAATTGTGGCCTGGAAAGGCAGCAGAGAACGGCCCAAAGCCTTGGGACCCTGCACCTGTGTGGGAGACCAGGAAGAAGCTCTTGGCTCCTGTGACCACTTGAGGAGTGAAATCAGTGGATGTAATATCTTCCTCTATGCCTCTCCTCCTCTGTATGTGTCTGACTTTCCAATATAAAGAAATCAATCTTTTTTTTAAAAAAAGATTTATTTTTATTACAAAGTCAGATATACAGAGAGAAGGAGAGATAGAGAGGAAGTGGAGTTGCCGGGATTAGAACCAGTGACCATATGGAATCCCGGCGCATTCAAGGCGAGGCCCTTAGCCACTAGGCCACGCTGCCAGGCCCCAAATAAATATTAAAAAACAAACAGGAACCGGCTCAGTGGTTAAGGTCCTCGCCTTGAACACCCGGGATCCCATATGGGAGCCAGTTCTAATCCTGGCATCGCCACTTCCCATCCAGCTCTCTGCCTATGGCCCGGGAAGGCAGTCGAGGACGGCCCAGGGCTTTGGGACCCTGCACCTGTGTGGGAGATCCAGGAGAGGCTTCTGGCTTCGGATCGGCATAGTATCGGCCATTTCGCTCACTTGGGGAGTGAATCATTGGACGGAAGATCTTCCTCTCTGTCTCTCCTCTCTGTATAACTGCCTTTCCAATAAAAATAAAATAAATCTTTAAAAAAACAACAAACAAGCAACAACAACAAAACCGCACAAAAAAAACTCTCACAACATTAACATACAAGGAGCTGGCACGACGGCAACTGGCTAATACTCCACTTTCAGGCACCAGAATTCCAAATGAGCACAGGTTCATGTCAAAGCTGCTCTAATTTCCATTCAGCTCTCTGCTTATGGTCTGGGAGAGTGGAGGAAGATGGTGCAAAGTCGCGTGGCCCTGCACTCAAGTGGGAGATTTTGAAGAGACTCTTTGCTCCTAGCTACGGATTGGCTCAGGTCTGACTGTTGTATCCATTTGGGGAGTTCCTAGCTACGGATTGGCTCAGGTCTGACTGTTGTATCCATTTGGGGAGTGAATGAGTGGATACATTTCACTCGCCTCTCCGCCTCTCAGTAAATCTGTCTTTCCAAGAAAAATAAATCTTAAAAGAGGTTTCTTAATTGCTAAACATTTGCATCCCTAAAGCCTGTACACAAACACTTGAATGTATATACAGAACATACTCCTAATCATACATGCTTCCTGTACTTTAACATCAGCAGCTGACCTTCCAATCAACCCAACATATGCTTTTTCTCACTTAATAAATTTTACTCTGGCTGCAGAAATCACTAGTTTAATCAGTAGTTTAATAAGTAACTTCTGAAACCTCAATATTATTTAAAATAAAAATTAAAAAAAAATTTTAAATTGGAAAGTCAAATTTACAGCGAGCAGAAGAGACAGAGAGAAAGACCTTTCTTCCTCTGGTTCACTCCCCAAGCGGCCCCGATGGCTGGAGCTGTGCCCGATCTGAGCAATCTGAAGCCAGGAGCCAGGAGCCAGGAGCTTCTTCCAGGTCTCCCACACGGGTGCAGGGTACCAAGGCTTTGGGCCAACCTTGACGGCTTTCCCAGGCCACAGTTAGGGAGCTGGATGGGAAGTTGGAGCAGCCAGGACAGGAACCAGGTTTAAAGAGCCAACACCAGGGTCCCCTAGAGCATAATCAAAATGGTAAGATTCTGACATGGGACCTAGAGTGCCTAAGTCAACTGGGACTTAAGAAAGGAACCACACAAGTGGAAAATTTGAGCTAGGTGCTAAGGATACAGAAGAACAGCAAAAATGAAGATTGTCATCATTACACAGTAAGATCAAATCACACACAGAGCCTCCTCAAGGCTTTTGTGCAAAGTGTTTCATGAAGAATGTTGGCTCTAACTTATCTTCCCGTAAAAATGTTACATTTTTATATGAGCACACATTAAAAAGGTCATAGAAAAGGTAGCTAAAAGTATCTTGATACACAAAAAAACCCTGAAATACATTTAAAAAGGAAAAACCTGGAAAATATGTATTTTCCATTAACTTTATTGTGAATGCCCAGAAAAGTGATTTTACTTCAAAAAGGTGTCCAATTAACATTTCTCTGCTAATTCTTTGGCTGTGGAGTCTTCAGCCAGCAGCTGCTTTTAAATTCTAAGCCAGTTCTGAAGAAGCAAGTGAGGCCATATGTTGCCCAAATCAGGAATTCAGATCTTGAAATGCCAAGAGTGATAAAAGGGGATACAGTTCCCTTCCTTCAGCTAGCACAAGGATTCTACTTACAGAGAATAATTGTGTATAAAAGCTAAACTCCATATTCTTAACCTCCCATTTTCTACCTTTTATACTCACCAACTTGTCAGTCCCGGGATCTGTCTTCACCTCAGAGCTAAGAAGTAAGTCTGCTGTTGTATGCTCAGGCGAAGGTGCCTCCCCAAGAACTATCAACCCCTGCATGAAACGGGAGAGAGAAACAATACACATGAGCAAAGTCAAGTGCAAATTTATTTAGGAGTTAATCTCTAAAGTAGCTTCCTCTGCTACCTTTTCCCCCATATCCTCCAGTTTGGAAACAATCCACACAGCAGCATCGGCTTTCATTTTCAGAGATGGTTTAACGAGAATCCTGGCAGTACTGGTATACTCAGAAAGGCACAAGACGCACACCCCGCATCCCCTCTCTTCCATCTGAACGCTCGGCCAATCGGCATGGCTTGTTGGCCATTTAGCATCATTTATTCCGATCTAGATCTGGAATCATAATCAACTTACGCTATTTTATCCTGTATTACTAATCAGACACTGAAGCAACAGTTTTTTTAGTTAATTAATTCTTTAGTTGATTACAAATGTGCCTTAAATATTACTAAAAGCTGGATGTGCTACTAACTGTCTGGACAAGCTGTTGCTGGTAATGCTGGCATCCCACACTTAAGTTTAAGTTCCAATACTGATTGCCCTGCTCTGCTCTCCATTCAACTCCCTGCTAATGATGTGGGTGTGAAGGCAGTGGATGATCCAAGCGTCATCTTGAAGCCTCTCTTGTCTCACTGTAGGGGAACTACAATGAGAATGGAGCTCCTGGCTTTGATCTGGTCATGCCCTTCCCATTGTACCCATCTGGGGAGAGAACAAGGAGATGGAATCCTTTTTCTGTCACTCTGCCTTTCAAACAAATAAATATATATTTTTAAAGATTTATTTATTTATTGGAAAGTCAGATATACAGAGAGGAGGAGAGACAGAGAGAATCATCTTCTGTCCGATGATTCACTCCCCAAGTGAGCGAAATGGCCGATGCTATGCCAATCCAAAGCCAGGAGCCAGGAACTTCTTCAGAGTATCCCACACGGGTGCAGAGTCCCAAAGCTTTGGGCTGTCCTCGACTGCTTTCCCAGGCCACGAGCAGGGAGCTGGATGGGAAGTGGAGCTGCCGGGATTATAACCGGCGCCCATATGAGATCACGGTGCGTTCAAGGCAAGGACTTTAGCCGCTAGGCCATGCCACAGGGCCCAAACAAATAAATCTTGAACAAACAAAACCAAAAGAAATCAAATCAAATCAATACATCTTTAAAATGGATTAAAAAAACTGTCAAACTGTAAGGATGTCTGTGAAATATCATAATTAAGCATGCCAAATAAGAAGTCATGTTGTCAAATGCCCGCTTAATCCACTCCAAAGTCTCAAAATCAGCTTTTGTGGACCTTGTATAACCACATTTTAAGTTTGTTTTTTTTGAAGAGAAAGACACAAATGGTAAGTATTTACATAGATACTCAGCGTAACCTCTGACTCCAATATGCAGAAAAGGGGAAAAAGCCAAAATTGTTGGCTTTATACATGGAGGCCTGGCAGCAGTTTCTTTTCTCCACAGAGAGCAGCAAAGATGACCCCATAGAGTTTCTGTGCACACAAGAACGGGAATAAATCAGGAACAGAAAAGGGTACAAATTCCTTTCTCATTGTATTCTGCTTAAGCTAGTTTCCCCACAATATGGTGAGAACCATGAAAGACCTCAAAAGAGGGAGAAAACTGAATTAAAGAGACCAAGACACACACACACACACACAATGGTAATTTGTGCCCAAGAACTGGGACAGTCCCAGGGACAAGTCCCAAGGCTGGAGTCCATCAGTTTCACCAATGTCATTGTGAAGATTTCTCCTAACTCACTGGCACCCACACCAGAACTTCGGTCAGTAAATCAGGTAAAGCACCTCTATGCTCCCTCACACTGCTCCTTTTGCTGGCTCTGCTGTGCATTTGAATTGAATGTTTGGCCAGATCCTATCCAGATCAAGCATTTCATCTCAGCAGACTTCACAGATCAATCACCACTCTGACGCAGATGAAATTAATGGGTGAGAAATTTTACTTCAGTTCTGTAACCTGATTTATTTGGTTTTAAATTGTCTCTTTAACACTGGTCAGATGATGCAACACCTGTTCAGATGGTTGACACATATTCTCCTGAAATTTGGGATATTGGTAATCAATTCCAACATCTTCTGGGGGAAAAAAAAAAAACAAAAAAAGACTGGCAGATTAATTTCTGTTCAATTGTCCAAATCTTCTCACTGACTTGTTCACTAAGTCTATGCCATTTTGTACTTCATCAATATGTTCAACTGCTTCTTTCACTCTCTTCAATAACCCTGAAAAGCAGATGTGTTTGCCATCCTCTGGGGAAGGAGCAGTCTTGGTTTCTTCCTTTGAGAAGGGGATGAAGAGGGCAATGCTTCAAGGAAAATCTGAAATTCAGGACCAGGTAGAAGGAAGCGGGAAGCTGGGAGAACTGAGAATCTTAAAGAGCCTCCCAGGGCCTGATCCAATAGTCTAGTGGTTAAATCCTCACCTTGCATACACTGGGATCCCATTTGGGCACCAGTTCCTGTCCTGGCTGCTCCATTTTCCATCCAGCTTCCTGCTTGTGGCCTGGGAAAACAGTAGAGGACAGCCCAAACCCACTGCAGCCACTTGGGGAATGAACCAGCAGACAGAAGATCTTTATCTATTTTATCTTTTATCTCCTCTCCTATGTCAGCCTTTCCAAAAAACAAAAACAAAAACAAAAAACCACCCTCCTACCAAAAAGACCTTTTCAAGTCCAAGTCTCACTTTCTTCTAAAACATCCCCGGCCACTGAAGTAGTATTATATTCTTTACCTAAAATGCAGATTTTACAGAGAGACAGATATCTTTCACCCACTGGCTTACTTCCCAAATGGCCAGCATAGCCAGAGCTGAGCTGCTACAAAGCCAGGAGCCTCTCCCATGTGGGTACAAGGTCCAAAGTCTTCGAGCTAACCTCCACTGCTTTCCCAGGCCACAGTAAGGAGCTGAATGGGAAGTGAAGCAGTCAGGACCGGTGCCCATGGGATGCCAGTGCCACAGGGCAGAGATTGGCCCACAGTGCACCAGCCCTGATACTTGTTTTATCCATGCTGCCAGGTTCCTGTCAATTCTCTTACACTCAGGGAATTTGCACTTCCTTTCCAGAGCAGAACTTCATGCTTCAGAGCTTGTTGTTGTTCAGATGTTAATTAATGGCAAGCTTCTTGAATGCGTGGACACAAATAAAGTGAATTCTCCAATTCCACTTCTAGTCACACAGCAAGAAAAGAAACATCTAACATTTGTTGAGTTTTATGTTAAAAGCTTTGGCTTAACAGCAAAACATTTCGTTCTTAGCAACTGTAACAGCCAGAGTCTAAATGAATTCAAGTATTAGGTATAAAATTACTAATTAATCCCCCCACTTGCCACACACACAACTTTCAAAGCATATAAAAGCTAGTGTTTAGGCCTGGTGTGGTAGCCTAGCAGCTAAAGTCCTCACTTCCCATTCAGTGCTCTACAGTTGGCCCGGGAGGGCAGTGGAGGATTGCCTGGAGCCTTGGGACCTTGCACCCATGTAGGAGACCTGGAAGAGGCTCCAGTGGATGGAAGATCTTTCTGTCTCTTCTTGTCTCTGTAAATCTGAGTTTCCAATAAAAATAAATAAATCTTAAAGAAAGAGAGAGAGACCGACTGACCAATTCCTAGTGGCTAAAGTTCTCGTATTGCACATGCCAGGCATCAGTTCTAATTCAGGCAGCCCCACTTCCCTGTTGCTAAATCCTTGCAGGTGCTGGGATCCCATTTGGGCACCAATTTTTGTCCCAGTGACCCTGCTCCCCATCCAGCTCCCTGCTTATCGCTTGGGAAAGCAGTCAAGGATGGCCCAAGTCCTTGGGATCCTGTACCCGCGTGGGAGACCTGGAAGAGGCTCCTGACTTGGGATCAGCTCAGCTTCGGCTGTTGCACTCACTGGGGAGTGAACCATCAGATGGAAGATCTTCCTTCTCTGTCTTTCCTCCTCTCTATATACCTGACTTTCCAATAAAAATGAATAAATCTTAAAAAACAAAAAGCTAGTATTCTCCAAAGAAAATAATCTTCTCTTCAACTAGAGTAATTTCTAAAAACACAGCTCAGAAAAATTATGCGAACATCTTGCCAAAAAAGCATTGTAAGACTTATTAAGAATCATCTCTTCTCCACCATTTTTAAAAGACTCATTTTAAAATTTTTATTTTAAAAGGCAAAGTTACAAACAGAGAGAACAAGGGCAAGTGCTAGCTAGATCTTCCATCCTCTGGCTCACACCCCAAATAGCTGCAACAGTCGATGCTGGGCAGATCTGCAGCCAGGAGCTTGCTATGAGTCTCCCATGTGGGTACAGGGCTGCAGACAGAGGCTTAGTTCACTATACCATGGTGCTAGTCTCTACTCCCCATCAGTTTGAAGACTCAGAGAGGGGATCAACACTGTGGCTAAAGCTACCATTCATGATGATGACACTCCACATGGATGTCTGTTCATGTCCTGGCTGCTCTACCTCCAACCCAGCTCACTACTGATGGTCTGGAAAGCAGTGGCAGGTAGCCCAAGTATTTGGCCTTCTGGTTTCAGCCTGGCAACTTGTACCCGTCTAACACCCACACCCATTTGGGAGAAACGGAAGCAGCTCTGGGGACCTGGCTTTTGACCAGCCCAGTTCTGGCTGCTGAGGCCATTTCGGGATGAATCAGGTGGGATGGAAGATCTTTTATTTCTTTATCCCTTTCTCTGTGTAACTCTGCTTTTTGAATAGATAAAAACTTTAAAGATTTATTTAATTTTTATTGGTAGGGCAGATTTACAGAGAAGGAGAGACAGACGGAAAGATCTTCCTTCCATCTACCGGTTCACTCCTCAAATGGCCGCAACAGCCAGAGCAGATTTGAAGCCAGGATTCATGAGCTTCTAATTGTTTCTCATGTTGGTGTAGGGTCCAGCCATCCATTGCTATTTTCCAGGCCATAAGCAGGGAGCTGAAATGGAAGTGGAGCAGTGGAGACATGAACCAGTGACCACATGAGATGCTAGCACCATAGAAGAAGAACAGCTTGAAAACACACCAAA